TGGCTAGATGGAGTCACTGAAGCAGTAAGTGTGAGCTTAGGTGGACTCCAGGGGATGGTGGAGGACAGGAAAGCATGGAGGAATGTTGTCCATGGGGTAGCAATGGGTTGGACTTGACTTTGCTAAAGAACAACAAAGAGGGAGTATGTCCACAGCATTCCCTCAGTTCATTTGGAAGGTTACCCAGTCAAAGAATGAAATTAGATTAGTCTGGCAGATTTATTCTTGAGTAATTCATGTTACTTCTAGTAATTACTGTTAGTTTTATAATTTTCTCTAGAATTTTTCCAGGGACTGATGCCAGCCTAACTGGTCTATAGACTGACACTAGCCTTTCTTCAGTTGGCACTTTCCTTGTCTTCCATGAATTCTCAAAGAAGATAAGATAGTGGTTCTGAGAATTCTTCCACTAGTTCTTTTATGACTCTGGGATAGTTAGTCAGGCCCTGGAGATTGGAACTCATTTAACCCAATTAGAAAATCTTTGACTATTTGCCTGTCAGCTGTCCTGCCCGTTCAGCTTGTACTACACCTTCATCAAAAAGGTTGTAGCTCTTTTGGGAGAAGACTGAGCCAAAGTAGGAGGTGAGCACTTCTGCCTTTTCTTTGTCATCTGTTATCACTGGTGAATAGTTGAACTCCCTTCTCTTTCGTCTGTCTTCTGCTGCGGACATATGTGAAGAAGGCTTTTTTGTTGCTTTTAGCTTCCCGCCCTAGCCTTGGTTTTGACCTTCCTGACATCATCCCTGCAGTTCCTTGTTACTTGCTTATATTTATATTCAGGATTTCAGGATTCAAGTGATTCCAGGCAAAATGCCAAAAGTAATTTGGCCTTTTTTTTTCTTATATTGCTCCTTTTTAATATAACCTTTGCTTATATTCCTCCTTTTGTGACTCAAATGTTAGTCCACATTGGAAAGTTTCAGGATTCAAGTGATTCCAGGCAAAATGCCAAAAGTAATTTGGCCTTTTTTTCTTCTTCTTCTTATTTTCCTCCTTTTTAATATAACCTTTGCTTATATTCCTCCTTTTTAACCTGGCCTTGCTTCTGCCTCCTCTATATGTCCTTTTTGTTTTTGTGAAACCATATAGGCTTCCTCTGTTGTCTACTACTCTTTTTCTTTGTTGTAGTTGTGGCTTAAGCATTTTAAAGAAACCTCATCCTTCTTGAGCTCTTTTGCCTTTCGAGTGGCTTGTCATGGGGCCCCGAATTTGTTAAAGTTGGCCTTTTGGAAATCCAGATTGCATGATCAGCTACATTTAGTTTTAGCTTCCCTTATTACACATCCAACTATATTGAAGAGGACTGTGACCAAGTGGCCTGTGTCATTCCTCAGTCTGTTCCCAAGCGCTAAGTATTCAGTGGTAACAACAAAGCCCTTGATCTCCCTTCTTGGACAGGTGTAAACTTGGACCAGACTTGCAAATGGAGAACATCTTCCAAGAGAGGACTGTCCTTTGTAAAGTAGGATATAAGGGAACCCTAAGGGGGAGGGGGGAGGGGGAGGGAGAGAGAGCATGTGTGTGTGCCCGCACGCATGTACACGTGCCCTCATGTGCACACACTGCTACTCCTGAGCTCTATTGCGATAAAAGAATTGGAAAGGAAAGGCAGATTTCAGTCATCCAATGCAAAAATGTACATGCAAATATTCCCACTGAAAAGGGCTCATGCAAATCATCACAGGAAGAACAGGGCATTTGTGTCCATAGGTCAGTAGGTCAAATTTCTCCGTTATTTCCCAGTCAGCTGGCTAGCCAGCCAGTTGTTCGACCTTACCAGAAGGCATCTGCATGGGAGCATCAGGCAGATTTTGCAGTAAGGAGGGATTTAGACTGCCCTTTTGCAGCCCAGGTGGGTAGTTGGCCTCTGAAGGACTTTGTCAGCCCTCTTCCCACTCACCATGCCCCACTTAAAAGGAAAATAGCTCCCTGTCTCAGCCTTTCTGAACCAGAGACCTTTCAGATACTTAGGGCTGCAGCTCCTGTAATTTCCAGTCATCAGGCCAATAGTCATGTGCAGGCTGGGAAATGAAGCTGTTCCTGTTTGACAAATCTGAACGTTCAGGAAGCAAGCCAAAAGTTTAGGTATATAATTAGTCTTGAACAAAGCCAAAGAAACAGATAGCAATTCTTGCTGTTTGGCACAAAGAATAGGTCCTGGCTGATCTATAGCCCCCTGTAAATCAGCACAGCAGGCTAATGTGTTGTTTTATGGGAAGCTCCATGCGCGGCCTGCTGCTTGAACTTCTGCTGGATCTGTGAACTCCTCCTCCTTTCTGAGGGGTGAATTCCTTCTGACTCCAGCTCCTGCCCTTGAGGAACTCCAGGAACTGCCCAAGATGCCCTGGTTGCTCCTTTACTGGAAGAGAGTCAGCTGTAGCCTCGACCCCTGCATCTGATGGTGGCTGGGGCCTGCTCTGCTGGCTCTCGTCATCTGAAGAATCCTCCTCCAGGTAGGACAGGACAGGACAGGCAAGCACATTGCGCCCAGTGCTGACAGCTGCATATTTTTGCTTGAAGTCTTCCTTGCATCAAATGGCATTCCAGTCTGTGCAAGCCTGGATGCATTTGCAAGTATTAAATAAACTAAACTATAAACTGCAGGAGTCTTTCTGAGGTGACACAGCATGGGTAACACAGTCACATCACTAACACAAAATAATGGCAGCAAGGCCAGTCTTTGCCCTATTTATTTGTGTTCCTAGTCATTTGGAAAGAACCCTGCTCACATACAATTGTGCACATATTGCCTACATGGACACATTCAGCTGCCTTCATGTAGGTCCTTTCTCCAAATTAATTCACTTGCTGCGATTGTGTGAAAAGGGCTTTCGATTTCATTGCATAACCCAGTTCCAAACCTGGTGAAGCAAATTTTTAGCCCAAAAATGTGTAATAAGCCATCCTGGACAATTGCTGAGAGGTGGTGGTTATGGTACTGAAGGACGAAGCATTTGAACTTTGTACTGACTTACTACTAACACTGAAGTCCAGAAAATGCAACCTTCATGTTTAAAGTTAATATGCTTGACCAGAGATGTTATGAAGTAGGAGATGGCCTCTGCTGGAAGAATAGTAGTTGAGTTGGCCAGACCATTGCTAAGTCCTATCGCAAATATTATGTCCTTATCAAGTCAATGACCGTCCTAAAATGTAAGGAGATCCTTCATATTTGCTAGGGTCAGTCCCAAAATAAGTAATATCCCAATTAAATTAGAGCAGCAACTTGTTAGAAACAAGAAGATTGGGGCTCCTTTCTCAGTTCCACCATAGACTTCCAAGGAGATCTTGCCAAACCCAACGTATGTGCTTACATCTTCAAAATGTTCAACCACAGCAGCACTCCACATTCACACAGAAACAGTTTGTTCTAGTCACACATTTTAAGCACTAGCCTCTTGTTCTTGTTCATTTAAAGAACCTGATCTTAATGTCATAAAGAAAGTGGGAGTGATGAAATGAGAGGTTAAAAGTCTCGTGTTAAAACATACCCCACATTTACTTATCTCTAAAATTGTAACAATATCAATTTATCCGGCAAGTGATAAACTGATAAAGCCAAAAGAGAGGTCAAATAACCTGTCAGTCTAGTGAATGCATACAATCAAAAACCGATGAACTGTTGATTTGTCAAAAGTGTTTAGTGGCAGATATGGCCCTAGCTAGAATAAACTAAAGTATCTACATTTTTGTGTTGTGGTTCTGAGTGTTCCAAAAGGCTGGGCTATGCTAGTTTATTTAAATCAGGATTTGACCAGTGGATGATCAGACAGATCCTTGGGTTGTTAGCTTCCCTCTTTATTTGTCCTCTCTTTTCCTGTGAGCTTTCCTAGACAAGGCTTTTATAGACTCACTATTTCTCACTCATCATTATTTACAGTGCTTTAGACAACATTGCAACCTTCTAGCTTCCCTTCCATTTTTGTTTTGTTTTATAACCACTTTTCCAAGTTGCTTGAGAGCTGGAAATATCTGGCATTTTTTGGTATACTGAAACAAAGTTTCCACCAATATAGTTGTATTATTCTGCTATACCACAATGCCACCTACAGGTTAGATATCAGAATGACAGGAAAGATAAAATAGCTTCTTGTAAACCTCTGACTTTAATTCTGCAACAAAACAAGAATTAGAAACAACATATTAAACAGCTTCATCTAGAAACCCTCACGGGAACCCTCCGTGAAAGAAATTAGGAGGGTGGGTACTCGGAGGAGGGCTTTCTCTGCGGTGGCGCCTAAGTTATGGAATGCGCTCCCCAGAGAGGTCCACCTGGCGCCGTCGTTATTTGTTTTTTGGTGCCAGGCGAAGACCTTTTAAGTGGCATTTTAACTGTTAATATTATTGGATTTTATCTGGCCAGGGTGGCTTATTTTATATTGGTATTTTTGTATTTTTAACCTAATGTTTATATTTTTTTTAATTTAATATTATAATTATTTTTTAACTTATTGTTGTAAGCCACCCCGAGGCTTCGGTGAATGGGGCGGCATAAAAATGTTTTAATAAATAAATAAATAAAAAATAAAAAATAAAAGCTCTGTATCCCAAATATCTTTCTAATACATTAGTGTCACATGAACAATGACAGATTATTTTATGCTGCTCGGGTTTTTTCCTTACCTGTCACCAATGTGGCCTAGCAAAATGACTTTTGCAGAACCCACAATTCTGTTTCACATTCAAAAGGAGCACATATTTTAAACAAGCCAAAGTTCACAACCCAACAACAAAACCATGGGTTTCTCTCTGAGTTATTCTTGATTAATGAACCATGGTTAGCATGGTTGTGTCTGCACATCATAACTAACCAGGATTTAACAACCCATTCCATGTGACACCATTATGTGTAAACCAGGATAAACCTTAATAGTGAGAAGGCTGAGTTTGAGAGAGAGAAAGTGGCAGGCAGAGTTCACAGCAGAGATTAGATTTGATTCAGGGTGTTTGGAGCTGCAGGGCACCCTTTGGAGTAACAAGAGAGATGACACATAAAATTCACAAAACTTGATCCCTTTATTTAAATAAAACTTAGGGTCATCAGAAAGAAACAGTTAAACTTAAATACATAAGATAAAATATATACAACTTGGTATCAAAGTATATATACAATGTTCTTCTGCAGAGAGTCACAAAGATATGCATTCGAATGTAAGAAATTAGGATAAAGGAACGGAAAACGTGACTCAAATGTCAGTCCACATTGGAAAGTTTCAGAATTCAAGTGATTCCAGGCAAAATGCCAAAGTAATTTGGCCTTTTTTTTTTTTTTTACTTAGAACAGCTCCTCTTGGAATAAAGTAACCCAGTAATAATATAGTAATAAAGTCTGTGCTCATGGGTTGCTCAGCAGAGTCAATAGAAATGCTCCCATTGCCTTTAATGAGCTCCGCAGCCAGTTGTCAATGAACAACAGACCCTCTCTATAAACAAAATGTTCCCCTGTGACAGAGCATCGGAGTGATGATTTTTTTTCATGCACAGCATTAAAGCACCCCCATTCACACTGAATTTGGAGTAGAGGCCTTAATATGGAAATGAAAAAGTGGGGCTTCTGCCTACTTCTTTTTCATGCTCTGTTTTCCCAGACAATGAGTGTGTCCCTGAACTACTTAGCTCAGAACACCCAGCAAAGCTTTTGGCAATGTTTCTGTTCTCATGCTTACAGGACCAACCCAAACATTGATGCTATTGCCAAATATAATGCATGATGGAAGTAATCACCCTCTGGTGCAGCACTGGAGCCTTTGTGAAAATTGTGTGGTAGCTTAATGCACCATGCACACTTATTGATGAAATATACACTTAATGCTTTTCAGTTCAGGCGTCATACCAGACTGCATATCAGAAAAACTTGACTATAGATTAGCATGGCATCTGCACAGAAAAATTGTGGTTTGCAATCAGCCAGCAAAGTAGCAGCAGAAATCACACTTCCAAAGGGATTTGCAAACCATGTTCTGGGCTAATGATAGTTTAGTATTGAACTTGAATTGGCAGATGAAGAACAAATCCATGTCCAGGGGCTACCGGACCAGGGAAGAAGGGGCACTGAGCTGGTGGAAAACAAAGAAAGACAAGCTGCTTTAAATCTTAATTTCTTTTCTAAAGAGAACCATGCAGGTTGGACTACATGTCCCATGATACCCACCAAGCATGACTGATGGGAATTGTGGTCCAATGTATCTGGAAGATGGCAGGTTGGGAAAGGCTCATTTAGAAGCTTAAGTATCGTTTGCGTTCTAATTCACAGTTTGGTGGTCTAAATGGACATATCTTTGTGGTCAGCTATGAAGCAGAAAAATATTCTTTATAACATGTCAATCTACAGAAATGAATGCATCACATGCAAAATGAATGATCCAAACCTATCCTGGTCTTAATTTGCTTCCACAGAATTAGAAGCCATGGGGAGCTGGTGCTGGAGAGCTTTACTCCTTTGCATTGGCTTGTTCCCCTCCCTTTAACATCATTAAAATGAAAGACAGTTGAGCAGCTCCAAGAATTGTGATCACATAATGCATTTACCTTATTTCTTTCATTGTTGTTCACATCATCCTTACCCTAAAAAGGCAATGTTTGCTCAGATATACACATGAACCACTGCTTCCCTGTACATCTCTGAGAACTCAGACTTCATGCAAGTATGTTGTTCCAGGTTAGCCACTGATTGAAGAAAAATCTTCCTTTTTCTCCCCTTGCTGACAACATTTATATTGAAAAGTTTGTCTTTACCAGTCACTTTTAGACTCAGACATTTTCCTCAATGAATTTTGCAGTTTTGTAGAGTAAAATATTCATAAGCACAAATCCATGAGAGTGACCGTGAAAATACAAGTGGTTGCTTATAGATGATCAACTTCTTCCCAGCCATTTGCCAAGCCTATGCAATGTATTTTGCCAGGGAAGAAATATCCCCTGTGTCCTTAACAGCAAAGGCATTCTCTTGTACATTGCGTGTGTTTGCTACCTCTCATTCCTGCTTTCAGTCACATAATGGCCATCCCTTCCCTCCCTAGTGGTAGATGAATCAGGGCAGAAGGCAGAAACTTTAGCCTTCGGTTCTACTTGTTCAAGAGATGCTGTGTCTCCAAAGCTAGCAAATGCTAGGAATTCTGGTGGATACTTTCTGAAGAGCCATCACTGCTGTCAAGAAGAACCGCTTCAGCAAATTCCTCTGTTTCAGCATCAGTCACTTCCTCTTGAATGGTGAGGTGAACATCGGACAGGGAAGACTCACTCACACTGTTGCCCTCCATGGAGCAGAGGGTGCAAGAGAGAGCTGGGGCCATGCTTTCTTGCAGCATGCTCAGCATCATAGGAATCTGGACAGACCTCAGTCCTGAGACAGTTGGCAGGGGCTTGACAGCTTGTCCCCACTCCCGTTCCTCATCTTTGTAGAGGAGCAGCAAGTTAGATTTCTTTTCTTTCCTCTTGGACTTCATGTAGCCCAACATGATTCCCATTAGGAAGATTCCATAGAAGGACATCACAATCAGGATATAAAAATATTCATTTCCATTACCTCCACCCTTCTCAAGAGTGGAAGCAGCAGGAGAAGTGCTTTCAGCAGCAAGTATGGACTGGGTCATGTTGGGATGGTCCATCATGAACATCAAAGCTCTCCTTGGAAGGTCAGAACCTGGAAGAGGAAATAGTTTTGAGGTTGAAAACAACAGAAAGCAAAGCTTGGAAAGCAAAAATTAATCCTAAATGAGAATGAAAGATTCTTGTTTTCCATTTGAGATGCTAATACTTTTAACAGAGTTAAGTAATTTAGGGCCCAATCCTAGGCATGCTTAGATAGAAAAAAGGCTTATAATTCCTAGCATGGCTGAACCAGGTCTTTCTGTCTAAGCATGCATTAGATTGTGCTTTTAATAGAATAGGAGGAGGGAGTTTTACTGGAGATTAGTTTCAATGAACATAGAAAATCAAACCTAAGTCAAACCATGCATCTTTCAGAGTTCAGGATTGTCCACATGATTGGCAGTGAATCTCCAGGGAATGAACCTGGAACGATCTACATGGGAAATAAGCACTTCACCACTGAACTGCACCCCCTCCCCCCTTCACAATATGTACATCTCCTGGATCTCTTCCATTCTGTGCGAGCTTACTGGTGCAGCAAGCTTAGACAGAAGGTTGATAAGGATCTAGGGGACAGATTTCTGGATGATTTACTACAGGTCAGCAAGAAGGGATACAAAGGGAAGACATCTACAGGTGAACCCCCTGTAAATTGAAGTAATAGGACAGGGTATAAATGTATGTAATAAATAAATAAATTAAATGAGTAAATTTTGGTGAATAACACAAGACAATGGCCCAAAAAAAGTCCCACCTGCCTCACACTATAACAGTTGCTCAAGGCAGAAGTTATAGTGGATCTCAGGGTTCAAGTTTCCACAAGCCCGAAGTGTCCTTGCTCCCATATAATGTGCTCTAGGAATATGAACAAGGAAATTCTGAGTTCAAATCCCACCAAAGTGGTAAGATACAACCTTGCAGCCTGAGTCCCTGCTCTGTAATACTTGCTCCTCTTCCTGGAACTTTTCATGAATTGCCAAGATAAAGTGTATAAATTGTTTTGAACAGCAAAAATCTAAGCATTAAATATCATAATTCTGATGATGTATTATTATATCCACCACAGTGAAGTGAAGAAGAACTTTAAAGAACTTACGTGAGTCTGCAAATAAAGTTGTGCTTTCCAGTGCTCGAAGAAGACAGTTTCATCTGGCAGATTCCTGAGTTCTGAAACTTTCCCCGGCTGCTGCCGGAATTAATAGCCTCTGAAGCCAACTTTCATCACGTGACCCAAAGTTTACAATAGCTTGTGGCTGAAGACAGCCCATGAACTGAAAGGCTCTCAGCTTAACTGCTTGGATTCCTGACACCTCAGTAAATGGAAGAAGGGTGGGAAAGCTGAGTTACTCTTTCCTAAACAAAAGCCAGTGCCAGAGAGTCTGGACATGAATACCACTGTCCAGTACATACACGCCGATGATAAATTATGCAACTTGTTCTGAAAGCAGTTTGTATATACAGGGGCAAGTTCTGCCAATGGTTTATGAAGATTTACCAGGCACTACAGCAAAGAGTAATTAGAGGGGTTAAAAAAGAAAAAAAGAAACCGCTTTCATAGCTATGTGCAAAGTTTTGCCTTTTTTGACTCTGCAGTTGTCTTGGCTGTAGGGTGGCCATGTGTGCTACTGAACAGGGGACAGTCCTCAGTTTGAGGGCATGTCAGAAGATCAACTTCTGTTAGAGTGCATCCTGTACTTGTAGGTTTCTTTGGCCCGTGACAATTAAAGATAAAGTAGTATAACAAGGAAGAACAGTGGCCTTGTACCTATTCATGTAGATCGAAGAGGCACACAGTCTCTTCCATATGCTGATATGCATTGCATTCCTATTTAAACTACAATTTCCCATAAATTTGCACCTCTGCAAATAAATTAGTACATACAAATTAATGCGTATCTGTGTTCTCTTTCTTGGTGGTGCATTTCTCTTTTGCCTATGTGCATGTGACCACCCTAGCTGTAGGTGAGCTGTATTGTGCTGTAATTTAGAGTAGCCCTTCTCCAGTCTGCTGTCCTCATCTGCCCTGGCCATCATGTCCAATGGCTGGAGATGATGAGTGTTGTTGTCCATACTGTCTGGGAGCATCAGGTTTGGGAAAAGGGAGGGCTTAAAACCAGGAAGCACCCTACTGTGACTAGTCTTGCAATTGTGCAGCTGCTTTCTACAAGTAGACCAAACCTGCCATGGGGGTTAAAGCTTTGACACTCTCCTGTTCCACAAACTTTCTTCTTTTCAGCAAGATGCAATCCTTTGCATCTGGATGTGAAGTAATAGCAAAGTGAAGTGATACAAATCCTTCTGATTTCAATGGTACATCAGTCTCCAGTAAGTGGGCACTGAATTGTGCTTTTAATCAGAGCTCTGATCTAGGACAAGCTGCCTCCTGGAGCAATTCTACTGTAAATGGTGTACAGTCAGTGAATATCATGCGGAAAGCTAGTTTTTCAATCTGCTAGTCTCTGGAAACAGTAACAAAAAGCAATGCAACTTCGGTGCTCTTATCTGAGTGCTTCCAGATGGAGGGGTCCAAAACGATCAATCAGAAGGTACTGGGGAGCAAAGCTGTCTTTTTTTTCTTTCCTTAACAGATTTTTTGTGGTAAGAAAAAAGACAGACACAGCAGTAAGAACCCATGGGAGAATTACAAACGGAAGATGTAATCCATTTTATCCCTCGTAAAATGCTGTGAATGAGACAGGGTGACGGAACCAGAAAATCTTCATCTGGAAGCGGCCCTGGTCAACTGACCATTCTCTGGCCACTTGACTGGGCTCAGGGCCAAAAGAGACATTACTTTAGATATGCATCTAGCAGCAACTTTTTCTCTTCTTTTGTGTCATTCTTGTTGTAGAGTAGCTGCGGGGCGCAGGGACTGATCTGAATTGCACTGGAACTCTTGTGCAGAGGATGGAAAGTCAAAATCCAGACAGGACCTCCTATGCCTATTCTGTAGGAAACAAGAGGGGAGGGACACTTGTGGCTACTCCATATGGAATTAAAGTAAGGTCTTTTTGGCCTGCAGCTCCTTTCATAGAACAACTCCACACAGACAGTTGTGATGTTATGTAGCTTTGCATATAAAAGGCAACCCAAATGAACTTTTCCAGTCAATCTGTATGTGTATGTGTTCACCTGGTTTAATACATGGCAAGATGAATTTAATCTTTTCCTGGAAAACCATAAAGATTTAATTGAAACAGGATCTGAAAACTTGGATGAATGTGTCTGAACTATCCGCAGGACTAGTTTAACACATGTATATGTTCAGAAAATGCAATTTAGTGAATATCTGCATAAACAAATATTAAGAGCTTTAAGCTACAATATGCTGGTGGGGGAGGGATTGTCTTCAGTCACAACCATTTCTGAAATGAGACCCCCAACAGCTTCTCTGAAATTCAGACCTCAGCATTAGATCATACTGGCTGCAATCTTTTTATTGGGTTATAATAATGGCTTACATCTGATATAATGAAGCATCCATTATAAGCTGACAGATTGTACATCAGGCACGTCATCTTAATTCTTCGGAATGGAGCTTCTTCTGGGAGCTACCTGTTCAATATAATCTGGACCCACTTTGCCCAGGAAGAAATAGGCTATTATTGTTGGCTAAAGATAAATTGCATTATTTATTATTAGTCATTTTCAAAAGGACAGTTAAGGCACTGGCAATAATTCTTTGTAGTGGGCAATAAAATCCTTACTGTGAAGAGATTTTGCCTTTCTGAAGTGCTATTATGTGTTGCCAAAACCAGAAGCGAACAGATTGAAGACTCTGGGTGGCCTGTCACAGGAACAGCAATTTATACTAAAGGTAATTGACTGCCTATTTGAATGGGCAGAGTGGTCCTACACAGCCCATAGGCAGTGGCCAGGTTCAAATGTCATAAGACGTCATGGTGAATTTTTTACCATTGCTGATCTGTTGTATCATAGAACCCAGCCAGAGTTTCAATACAGTATGTTTGATTTCCCAACTGCACAGGGAGATGCTAAGGCTTCACTGTGACTTCTCCTGGAGTTCAGACCCAGAAGCTCCATTTTGCCATCAGTGGTGAGGAATCACAGCAGAATCCTGTAGAAAGAAGAGCAATGGAAGCTGCTGCTCAAAGCATCTCTACTATCCACAGCTCCCAAACAACACACGTCATCACTCCCTTTGTTCTTTTTGGCTGAGTGATGTGCCTGTCATCCTGTTTACCCTTGGAAGAGAGAAAAAGTGGGAGGCTGCAAGGAAAGAGAAGGTGGGGATAGCAGCAAAAGTGCTTATTTCCTTTTAATACAAAAACACTTTGGGGGCTAAAGTGCCTAGGAAGTGTTACCAAGATGCAGCTACACTCAGGAGAGGGAAGAGGGAGAACCTCAGAACCTCAGTGGACCGATCAAGAAGAGGTAGCTGGACAGCACAGAAGGGATTCTGCTCAAGCAGGCTGCTGGGATGCATGGCAAAAGCAGGAGGAGGTATGAGGAAACACAGGAACTGTGTGGCCATGGGAACCATGTGACCCTCCAACTGGCAGGTTGAGGCAAAAATCCACCCACTGATCCCCCTCAGTGTCCAGGGAGCCATGGGATTCTTTGGTTTCCCAGATCTGAGGTTGGAAAGACCTCCAATATCAGAGCTGGGGATCCATGCTGTCCTGCTGGCTGCTTTTCTGAGATCAGGAAAGCAAGTTCAGGGAAGCGGAAAGGGCTGAGAAGGTAAAATGATTGGGGCCATCAGGATATGATGTATCTAGACAATGCCCCAGCCTCCTTCTCGTTCCATCCAAAGCACTCCAGCTGCACCGCACAGCAAGCATACCAAGGAGACAAAGAGCGCTTCTGCTGTCCTCCACGCTGCATGGGATACCCATAAACTGCCAAGTTCAGACAGTGATGGGTATTCTCATTGAGCTGCGCACAGGTAGGTTTGCAATGATTCTCTCAGGATCTGGCTCTCTTCTGTTCTTCAGACTTCTTCACATGCTCAGCCCCAACTTGGGAAACAAGCCAAACTGAGAGGAGGTCTGCAAGCAGTCATAGAACAACCAGAAATCTTCTTCCACGGCACTTGCAGTACAAAGGTTGCGATCCATGCACACAGAAGAGGGATGCCACTATGCAACGTTCATGTGGTCTTGATTCCTGGTGGGTACTTGCATGAGCTACTCAGCACCAAGCCACAGCCACAAGAACACAGGCCAGAGTCCAGGGAGCTGATGGAGTCCCATTCCTAAAGCAGCCTGCCCAAGCATCCCTCTGTACAAGAGGCTAATCCTTCATAAGCTTCCTGCTGTACACCATGGAAATAACAGAAAACACCAAAAGCACAACGGAGGAGCTTTCCATAGAAAGTACAAAGGCCCTGGAAAGCCTCAATAGCACTGAGCAGACTAAGCATGGCAAGTATATTTGATTTTTGGTGTTAATTGCCCCAAATCGTGCCTGGAAAAAAAAATGGGAACACAACAAAGAAGACACTGAGATGCAACAGACTGGTAACAATGCCAGGATTTTCACTAAGAAAGTGAGTGAACAAACAATGACAATTCCAGATGAAACAGCTAGCAAGGAAGCCACCCAAGAGGCCACCAAGTGAAACGTGGGGGGTTCACTGTCTCAGTTATAAGTTCTTTCCTGCTTTGCTTTTCTCTTTTCTTCCTTATGTTTCATCATTTGCATTGTCCACTGCTTAAAGGAATGAATTCATTCAGAAATTAAAGTTTAACATAAGTGAAATCTAGATGGCAATTTGGCAGATGTTTATGTTCATTTTCCCACTGAACAAATTTAACTACTCATTATTTGCCATAGTTCTGCCTTCCCTTTTATTTTCTGAAATTTCACATTTCCAAAAACAAATGAAGTCCTCAGACGGCAACATGTGAAAGTAGCCCTGGCTCAACCATGCCTACTCAAATGTCATTTCAACTTCTCACTAGGATTTTGTGGACTCATCTATGACAGTCTGAACATTTCCCAGCCTGATATTGACTCTTTCTGTAAAGGTTAAGCAAGCATGTTTGTAGAATCAAAAACATTCACATCTTCTACTTTTTTCTTCTCTTTTCTAATATAGATGCAGACTGGAATCATGGTCTTCCCATTGCTCAACATCAGCATGGCTTTGTTCTCGACTACGTTGATTGTT